TGCGCGCGCCTGCGCAGAGGTCGGCGGCGGGCTGCGCGCGCCTGCGCAGAGGTCGGCGGCGGGTGGGAGCGCCTGCGCAGACCAGCCTCGGGCAGCGGTGGCACCGGCTAACATGGTAGGTGAGGGCGCCGCGCTAGCGGGCGGGCAGGAGGGTGCGGTGGTCCAGGCTGCGGCTGCGGCAGGCGCGGCTCCGGGCAGAGTGTGTAGGGCGCGGTCGTCCGCAGTGCTGCCCTCCTGCAGTCATGCGCCAGGCCGGGCGGCCTGTGGGAGAGTCGGGGCCGAGGGAGCGGTGCTCTGGGCTGCAGAGAAGGGCAGGACGCAGCGCCCGGAAGCGAGGACGGCTGCGTCTGCGCGGGCCAGCGTTCGCGGGGAGCCGACGGTCTCTGTCCTTGCTGTGCGCCCGCTCGCCTAGTAGCGTGGCTGGAGGAGCGGGTTAGGGAAGCGGGGTAGAAGCTGCGGCCTGGAGACCACGCAGGTGGACCTGGCGGGGGCAGCCTTACACCCGCCTGGTGGACCCCACTCCGCGGCACGGTGCACGGAAGACCTTGGGAACAGTTGTTAAGGATCCAGAGCCATGAAGTGGAGTGACTTAGCTCCCCATTCCCCGGCCTACAGATTAAACTCCTGCTCCGCTGGGCCTGCTCTGTACCAAAACAAGAGTCACAGTGTTACATAGTTCTCATTCCCCTGACCCGAGGAAGGGGGTCTTGTTCTAGTTAAAAGTCCGTAGAAGGACGTTTTAAGAGCTCTTTAAAAATACCTAGGCCGGGGGGATAGCTCAGTGGCTTAAGTGTCTGCCTGGCAAGTGTAAAGTCCTGAGTTCGATCCCTCATTAAATAAATAAATAAATTCCTATATAGTATATTAGACGTTTTTGGTACCAGGATTCTATCAGTAGCTCTTTGAAAGGTCACAGTTGAAATATTTGAAGCTTTTGGTCTCTTTTTATTTGATGTTTGACGTAGAAGATGCTCTCCTTTGATATTTTTCAGTTTCCATAACAGTAAAGCTCAGTGGAGGCCATGAACACTTGACAGTTTGTAGATCTTGGTGAATTTTGGATCTGATGGATTCAGAGCTCTTCTTTCTCCTTAAATAGGGGAGGGGGGCGGCTTTTGCTATGTAGTTCAGTCTGGCCTTGAATTCACTATGTGGCTCAGACTGGTCTTGAACTCTCCGTGATCTTCCTGCATCAGGTTCCTGCGGGCTGGAATTCAGGTGTGTACCACTGCCAATCTCCTTTAATTTTTATAATCTGTGAGTCTTTCTTTCCTGTGAAGCCTTTTTTTTCCTATGAAGTCTTATACCACTTCTCTTTCCTACCCACTTTGTATGTAGTCCTTTAGTCACTTTGACGTGGCTTAGCCATTGATTATTTTTTTACTCACTGTTTACAGACAAAGCTGTAGGGAGTGACATTAATTATACAACTTTGTTGATAGGCCCCATGTGCTTCCTTCATGGTTGCTGCTCCTCATGCTGAACTAGCATTTTGGGCCCTAATTTGGGGAGTGCACACATGAGGCAATTTGAATGGATTGGAGAGGGACTACTTGTTTCTTTGTCTCCACTTCTACCCTTTTGTAACTAAGTAGAAATTATCCTAGACCACCTTGTGTGGTCTGGGTCCATGCACCTGTATTTGACACATAGGCACTTTACACTGTGGCTTTAGCTGTCACACCACACGTGGGTGACCATGTAGAGGTGATCTTCATGAGTAATAAAGCTCAGGTACCCTGCCTTCCACTTGTCTATTTTGTCTTGGTGTGGAGCCATTTGTGGGGAAATGCTGGTCACATGGTACAGCCACTTAAGGGTGTGTGACTTGGTTGACTAGACTTGAGACTCTAGGGTACTATTTGGAATGCTTTGAAACTATTAAAGTAGTACAATTCCATGGTGTTTAGAAAATTCGCATTGTTGTACAACTGCCTCATGTAATTCCAGAACATTTTCATAACTAAGAACAAACCCTGTATACTTCCAATTCTTTCATTCCTGTTAAGCCCAGACATCCATTAATCTACTATCTCTATAGATTCGTCTGTTTGGGATATTTTATCCAGTGAAATACTGTGGCCTTTTGTGTTCCAACTTCTATTTCTCAGCATATTTTTAAGGTTCACCCACATTGTGTCATGTGTCACTATTTCATTCCTTTTTATAAATGAATAGTAACTTGTTATGTGGATATACTGATTTTATTTATATTCATGACAAAACTTCTAAATCTAAATTAATGGCTGTTCCATAATCCAGATACAATAAGTATTCCTAATGGAGGGCTGTTGCATAAACTGTCAACTTTATAAAAATATCCTGGTGTTTTGATTATCATCGTACTATGATAGCATGTGATATCTATCAGGGCCTGGAAGCTACAGCCCGTAGACATAGCCACTGGTGTGCACACACTGCCTGCCTGTGGCTTTGACCATGCAGTGGCAGAGCTGAAAAGCCACTAGAGACTATGGCCACCACCCATTTTTTTTTAAGTATGTTTAAGAATGATTGGGGCCCCAAAGAACTTTCATTTATGTAATTAGTAGTTATTGGTATTTACCATATCAAAAGTTAAAATGAGTTTTTCAAATGTGTATTTTAGAATTGCCACTAACAAACCCATTACTTTTCACATTTTTACAAGTGTCTTTAGTATCTGACTCATAAAAGTATTATTATTGAGTCTTTTGTGTTCGTCCTCTCGTGGTTTCATAGAACATGTCCTGTGTACTCAGGAGAGGTTGGTGAGGGTTGAAAGTACTAAGAGAAAATTTTGTCATCATGAAACCCTCCAGAGGCCTCAGACCCAGGCTCCCAGAGTATACTAGTGCACCGTGTGTCTGCACAAGGTTGTCTCACTCCTGCTGAGTTTTTATATTGGTACATATTTAAGTTGTGTTAGAGACAACTCTGGAACTTGCTAGGCTGTTTATTGTTGACGTTTGGTAAGGAATCGGTCTGCATAAAGGAGATGTGGCGTGTGTTCTTTCATGGTGGGCAGACCATTTCCCTAGGATTTCAGCGGGAGAGCAGTCCTTTTTCTGCGCCCTGGTAGGCTTCTAAGTCTGTTGGAGGAGATCTCCCTACCTCAACATCCCTTATTTGTGGTAGCCCCTGAGCGGCTGAGAGCCCTGCTTTTAGCCCATGCTTAGTATATGTGAAATGCCTGTCTTTACACAAATTCTATCCCTAGTTTGATGCTCCTTTCCCTCCTCTTAATTTCTCCATCTACTTCTTGGTATCCATTCCTTTAAGTTGTAATTGATTCTGTTTCTATAAACTCTCATCTTTATTTGAAGATTAAGTATAATCATCCTTAGGAAAACTTTTCCCCTTAGGATATTGTGTAAAATATTTGTATTCGAAAGAAATTAGCTTAGTCTGTTTTCATGTACAGAAATTGATAAATTACTTTTAGTGTTGCTTCCTGCAAGTTACCTTGAGACCTGGAAATCTGAAAGCTTTAAGATGTTATTCTGTTTCATTACAGACTATATATAGTACAGTTATTTGGCAGTTTTGTTATTTATTGCTTACCCACAGCCTCTGCCCTGCATCTCATAGGCAAATATTCTTGTTACTAGTATATCACTTCTCAGTTTCTGACAGGCATTCTGTGCCTACTTGTGGCACTTTTCCAAGTTAGTTGTAACACAAATCTGAGTCAAGTGTATGTTTTCATAAATGTGCTTCTGTTTTTCAACCGAGAGAAATTATGTTTCCAATGTGCACAGCCTCCTGCTAGTAATTACACACTGAACTTTGAGACCACAGACCTGCGGGTGGCCCCTTGACAACATCAGGCCCTGCCTTGTGTGCTGGACTGTGCTAAGACTTTTAAGGGGCAAATAAATACTACTACATGCAGAGAATTGATCCAAATGTGTTTCTATAAAATACTGATTCTCATAATTCTTTGAAGATTAGACTTTGAATACTTGTTATTATCTAGATGCTATCATTTCAATTTCAGGAGACTGTGCAGTCTTTTTAACTGATGAAGAACAAGGCTCAGGCTTCCTCTAATTCTGAAGTGGAGTCACCCAACAAACAATTAAGTCCAGTTAAAATATAGGCATTAGGAATAGAGGCTGCCACAAACCCTGGATTCGCTTCATTGGCTTTCCCGCTTCTTTTGCATCCCAAAGCATAAGCTTAAATCGTCTCAGAAAGAAAAGATCCGCCAGTTCATGGCCTGTACTCAGGCTGATGAGAGAACAGCTATCTACTGCCTAACACAGAACGAGTGGAAACTAGATGAGGCGACAGACAGCTTCTTCCAGAATCCAGACATATACTACAGGGAATCCATGCGGAACTCTGTGGACCAGAAGAAGCTGGAGCAGCTGTATGGCAGGTACAAAGGTAAGGGGAATATGGCAAGAAAGCGAGAGCACACAGCTGCGGGGACCGAGGGAACAGCATTGTGTTAGTCATCTTTTCATGTTGAAAGCACGATATCTAACACCCACAACTTAAGGGAGGGTTAATGTGGCTCGTGGTTTCAGAGAGTCCATCCATGTGTCCCTGGGTTGGTCGTGGTAGCAGGTGTGGGCAAAACTCTCTTTATGGCAGCAGGAACCAGTGCATAGAAGAGGCCCTAAAATGTCCAGGAGCTAGGTGTGAATCCCTGACACACCCAGAACTGTGCTTTACTAACACCATAGGCAAATCCCAAGCCAGCCAAGTTGCCAGTCATGATTGATTGTTAGAAGTGTGTAGAACTTTTGATATCGTGGACCAAAGAGATACGTGCTGCGGCTCCTTTTGAGTTGAGCTCCATAACCTCATTTCTTCAGTAAAGAATCTGGGGGTGATCTGCAGCTAACTTTCACCTACCAATTGTTCTGTGTGGTGAGTGTGACGTATTAACAATAGTTAAAGGGGAGTGTCCCTGTTTCAAAGCTTTATGGCCACTTCCCATACTAGGACAAAATACTTGCCCGCTACCTGTAACTTAAGAGGAAGAGAAGAGTGTTTTGGCTCACAGTGTCAGCAGCTCTAGTCCACAGTTGGCCAGCACTGAAGCAGAACCATTCTGTGGTAGAAGGGCCTGGCAGAAGAAAGCCTCTCGTATCATGGCAGACAAGCAGAGAAAGAAAAGGGCAGAGTTGAGAAAAGAATTTACCCTTCCAGGTCACACCCTCACTTAGCCACCCCCTCCCAACCTGTACCTACCTGTTATAGGAGACTTGGGAGACATTTTTGTTCTAAATCAGTGGTGGTGAACCTAGGGCACAAGTGCCACAGAAGGTTGTTGATATCAGTTGCAAGTTCTAAAAGGCTTGCCACCCTTATGATCTAACCATCACCAAGGCTGGTGTTAGCCATTATTAAGATCACAGTTTTTCTCCTAGTATTTTTAGGCTGAAATGCTATAGAGCACTACAAGATAATGGGAACAATTGTGTAAGTACCCACACATGTAATAGTGTCTAAAACTTACATTTTTATTTCAACAAATATGGGATCCAACAGAATCATTTTTTTGGTCTTGCATTCTGGTTTTTTTTTTTTTTAAATACTGTGTGTAATTTTTCCTTGAAAGTTGCATTCTTTAAAAACAAAATGGCTAAAAAAAAATGATTACTCTGTGTAGTTTTCAAAAACTAAAAATTGTGTAGCATATTTAAAAATTTTCAAAAAAATAAAATAAAATAAAAATAAAAATTTTCTGCTGGACATGGTGGTACATGCCTGTAATTCCAGTATTTGGGAAACTGAGGCAGGAAGATACAGCTAAGAGTTACTTTTTGTATTGCTAGGAGTCCCCAAGGCCTCAGCCCTTTTAAAAATTTTTATTTTGAAATGAAGTCTCATTAAGTTGCCCATGCTGGCCATGAATTTGTAATCCTCCCACCTCAGCTTCTAGAGTAGGTTGGATTATAATGGTGGGATTTATTGTCCACAGGAGACCAAATTATAGGAATAACGAGTCTTTATTAATTAGCTGATACCCAGTGTATACCCCAAGAATTAAAAGTAGGCATGGGCCCGGTTCTTTGACACCCTTTAGCTTATATAAGTTTCTATGGCAACTGGGCTGGAATACTGTGCCTACCTATGCATGCAGGGTCATAGTCTGGGCCTTGAGATTTATGGCTATATGTGGGCATATGGTCTGGCTCTTACTTTCTTTAATTGGTCCTGCTTCTTCCCTTATCTCTTCCATGTTTGTGAAATTTTAACAAGACAGTGGAAGGTGTGAAGGATGGAGCAATTCAGGCAAACCCAGAAACCTAGGGCTGGGGAGATAGCTCAGCAGTCTAAAAACCTGCCTGGCAAGCACAAGGACCTGGGTTCACATGCCATGCTGGCCCCCGTAACCAGACGTGGTGGCACACACCCGTAATCCTGATGCTGGGGAGGTTGAGACAAGAGGATCACTACGAGACCGAGCTACATAGCGAGTCCCTATACCAAATAAATAAATAATTTTTTTAAAAATCCCAGAAACCTAGATTTTACAAATAAGAATGTTTTATGGGTTATTTGTTGCTCAGTATTTTATGTAGAAAACTGTAGTTCTTTGATTAATGTATCTGAAACGCTTTAGCCAGAGCTGTGTAATACAGTGATAGGGCCCTAATCACCTGTCTTAATATTATTTGTCAAAGTAGTGTAACTTTTTCCCCCAATTTTAACTACAGATCCACAAGATGAAAACAAAATTGGAATTGATGGGATTCAACAGTTTTGTGATGATTTAAACCTGGATCCTGCCAGTATCAGTGTTCTAGTCATAGCATGGAAGTTTAGGGCTGCCACTCAGTGTGAATTTAGCAAAAAAGAATTTGTAGATGGCATGACAGAGCTTGGGTAAGTAAATTTTGTCAATTTTAATTATTTCAGAAAGATGCATTCAACATTGTTTAATAACTATAAATATTAATACCTATAAATTGTTTAATAACTATAAATATTAATCTGACATTGATATATCTTATTTTGTATATAATATAAATACCTTATACATCTGCACTGTTAGGCCTTCAATTTCTTTACAATTCTAGTTTAAAGTTCTGTTTACCATCATTCACGTTAGGCGTGTGTGTGTGTGTATGTGTGTGTGTGAGAAAGAGAGAGAGGGAGGGAGGGAGGGAGGGAGGAAGAGGGGGAGAGAGAGAGAGAGCGTCTCGTGTAGTTAATATTGGCCTTGGATTCACTATATGTCCTAGGCTGACCTCAAATTTGAGGCGACCCTTCTGTTTCAGCCTCCCACGTGCTGGGATTATAGTCATGTGCCATCACACCTAGCATGTTCTTATAACTCATTTTCTTTATTTCCTTCCAATTTTGAATAAACAGTATGTAGCAGGAGTCTTCAGCCATTTAGCTTATTTCATAGTATTGTATACAACATGTATAATTTATTATGTCACTACATTAAAATCAATAAATTATCTTTTTTTTATGTATGTAGTACAGGGTCTGCAGGGTCTCACTATGTAGCTTGGACTCGTAGTGATTCTCCTATTTTGAGCCTCTCAAGCGCTTGGGGTTACAGGCGTGCGCCACTGTGCCCAGTCTCAGTTGCTGTCTCAGCGCACCCTGGGGACAGGGCTGGCATGGCACACTGGGATCAAACCCCGGCCACTGTGCTCTGCCTAACCGGGCGCTACAGTCCACTGACCTATCTGGCCGGCCCACTAACTTGTTTCTTAGTTACCAGGTAAGTCATGGAAGTAAATGAAACCACCTCACGTACCTGCATTTTAGCCTGTTTCACATGGGATTGTAAGAAAGCCAGCTAGTTTGACTTGCTGATGTTTCTGGATCTCTGATATATCAGTACTGACATCTTAGAATAGCCTCTTTTCTGCCACTAAGAATGTAAAGCCTGTAAACTTGTTCTTAGAGTATGCATTTTATGCTTTTTTCCTGTGTTATATTTATCGTTTCTGTTTCAATAATAAACTCTGTAGGACTTTACTTCTGATGATACATTCCTGGCCCCATTCTGGCAATGGTACAACAACTTATTTCTTCATTTTTTTTGTACTTTGGAAAGTGCAGGTAAACCACTGGTTGGTTTAAGTTGGAAGATATCTATATAAATGTGTTAATACATTCTTAGAAAAGACATGAGAAGCAGAGTCATGCAGAAGGAATTGATAAATAGTACTTCATCAAAGTTAAAAGTGCTGCTCATCAAATGATGTGTTAAAAAAATGAAAAAGGGGCGGGGATGTAGCTCAAAGGCTTAAGTGCCTGCCTGGCAAGCCCAAGGTCCTGAGTTTGATTGCCAATACAAAACAAAAAAGGAAAAGTATATGAGAAAACACTAAATAATTATAATTTCCAGATAATAGAGAAATAGGATAATTTTAGAAATTCAACCAAAATGAATATAAGGGAAATTAGCTTAGGCAAGACAGAATGCAAGCTCAGTGTTGAAATGGAGGATTTAAACCCAAAGGTGTCAGAAGTTACAATTACATTACATGTTAGTTAGCTACTAAATTTTTAAACTTTATATATTTTTAATTTTATATATTTATTTATTTGGGACTGGGGAGATGGCTCAGTGGAATAAGTGCTTTCCTGACAAGCACAAGGGCCTGAGTTCAATCCCCCGTTCCACCAAAAATAAAATAAAACAAGTAACCCATAGCCTGGGGATATAGCTCAGTAGAATAAGCGCTTGCCTGGCAAGTGCAAGGTCCTGAGTTCAATCCCAGGGAAAGCAAAATAATAATAATAATATTTATTTGGTACAGGATCTCACTATGCAGCTCAGACTTGGAGTGATCCTCTTGTCTCAGCCTCACCGATGCTGGGGTTACAGACGTGCACCACCAGGCCCAGTTTTGGTGGCTGGCCCAGCACAGGCCGGCATGGCATGCATTACTGGGAATCAAACCCTTGTGTTTGCCAGGCAGACACTTAAACTGCTGAACTATCTCTCCAGCCCAATACTAGACTTTTTTTTTTTTTTTTTTTGCAGAACCAGGGATTGAACTCAGACCCTTGCGCTTGCCAGGCAATTGCTTATTCTACTGAGCCATCTCCCCGGCCCCTAGACTTTTTTAAAGCGGTTACTGTGCACATTGTTTACGATAGGTATACATAAAACATAAGAGCACAGAACAATTGGAAAGGATAAAAGTTGACGTATTATGCAAACACTAATCCAAAACAACATATACAGCTTTGTTACTATTAAAATAAGCTTTATGCAAAAAAAAAATAAATAAATATAAATAAATAAATAAAATAAGCTTTATGGGGACATAGCTCAGTGGCACAGTGCTTGCCAGGAAGGTTCTGAGTTTCATTACTGGTACAACAATAACAACAACAACAATAATAATAATTTTAGACTTCATAGGGCAGTTCCACAGATAATAAAGAACATTTCACAATGATAAAAGATTTGTTTTGCCAGGAAAAGAATAGCTTTTATGTTTTTGTGTACTTCCTGAGTAGTCCCAAAATCTGTAAACCAAAAAAGTAAGTATAAAGAGAAAGATAGAAAGTATTGCATTTTCACATACATCTTAGAAACTGATAAAATGAGCAAAAAGCAGAAAAAAAGATTTTGATAGCACAACAAATGGCCTAGCACATTGGCTTTGAAGAATATTATTTTTTAAAATATAAAACATTCATAACAGTTGATCATAAACTGGGTCCTAAAGTTACAATCAACTGTAAAGGATTTGAAATAATAGAGGGTATGTTTTCTGGCCACAGTGCAGCTAAACTAGAGATAACAGTGATGTTAAAGGATGCACAGATGTTGTACACCACTGTGGCTTAGAAAGGAATTTACAATAGAAAGTAGAAAATGCATGCTTGGAATTGAATGATAAAATGCTGATGTTAATATTTGTGGGATTTAGCTTCTTAAGTGTATATTTTATTTTTTTTTAAATGTATATTTTAGAAAGAAAAAGATAGTGAAAATCAGCAAGCATAGTGTCCACTTAAGAAGTAGAAGAGGGCTGCAGTGTTTTTCAGTGGTGGAGTATATGCCTGGTGGAACCAGGGATTGAACTCAGGCCTTGCACTTGCCAGGGAAGCGCTTATTCCACCGAGCCATCTCCCCAGCCCATGCCTGGTACTCTTGAGGCTCAGGACTGAAAAGAGAGAGTGAGAACTTACAGGAAGTTAAAGGATATGGAAGATAATGATGTTTTTTAATACACAGTAATTTAATAGGAAAAAGAAAAGTTGTTGATAAAAAAAGTTCAATTAAGACATGTTTTGTTGGGGCTGGAGAGATGGCTCAGTGGTCTAAAGCACCTACTTGGAACAAGCTTAGCGAAGCATCAGGGACCGCGGTTCGATCCCCCAGCACCAC